CGGAACATTTGTGACGATTTTTGTTGAAACCCCAAAAATTTGAAGGTTTCTCGTCAAAAAGGTCGACTGATGATCCAATGAGGTCGACCAATGTTTTTTTTGACTCAAAATGCTATTCAAATGCTTCGATCCATTCTCGTTTTTATTAACTGAGGTCGACCTATGATGTTTTTTACTCCAAATATTATAGGTCTGCTTTGACCCATTCTCGTGTTTGATTAACTGAGGTCGACCGTTGATGTTTTTGAGGTCGATCTATGAAGTTTTGGACGAGTCTTGGCCTTCTTCTTCGACCCATATTTGTGCTTGATTCACTGAGGTCGACCTATGTTGTTTTTTATTCCAAATGTTACGAGTCTTGGCCTTCTTCTTCGACCCATATTTGTGCTTGGTTAACTGAGGTCGACCTATGGTGTTAATTAGGTCGACCTATGATGTTTTTGACTCCAAATGTTACGGGTTTTCTTCGACCCATTCTCGTTTTTTTATTAACTGAGGTTGACCGATGATGTTTTTGAGGTCGACCTATGATGTTTTTGACGAGTCTTGGCCTTTTTCTTTGACCCATATTTGTGCTTGATTCACTGAGGTCGACCTATGGTGTTTTTTTTTACAAAAGATAATCATATATTGATTGAAAAATAGGTAGTTACATCCTGGATCTCAGCCAGGCCTGAAAATAAAAAAACCGACACATAGCCGGGGACAAAGACAGGGCCTTCCTAGCTACCAAATGAGCTACCCTATTGCTATCCCGACCTATAAATCGCACACTAAACCCGGCATTCGCCCCCAGCATCTGCACAATCTCCTGCAGAATAGCTCCTACACGAAAATCCCTCACATCCTCCTAGCAGACCTTATCAATGACCACCTTGGCATCCCCTTCAAACTGCATCTCCGAAAGACCATGCTCCAAACACCAGCAGATAGCCTCCCGGAGGGTTAATAGCTCCACCACCATGGGATCCTCAATGAAAGGGAACTGCAACCCGATAGCCCAAAGGACGCCCCCCGTCTCATCACAAACTACCACTCCACCAGCAGAATGTGACCCCCTACGGACTGCTCCATCCCAGCGGCACACATGCCCCCCAAACACATCCCCTGTCACCACAGTGTGATGCTGGCTAAGCACTGGACCGGAATGAGTATCCGACGGCAATCGTAACCACTCATTTATCTGCTGATTGTACTGCCTCATTAAGGTAGGAATCCCAAACTGTTTACCTTCAAAGACAACCCAGTTGCGAGACTTCCATATCCTCCAGAGGACAGCAGTGATCATCATGAAATGAGTGGGCTGGTGCAGAATAGAGAATAGTTTTTTCAGGAAGAAAGGGAATGTATACTAAGGCAACCCCTCCCCAAGATACTCCAAACCAGAGTGATCCCAAAGTGCCCTAGCCACGGGACAGGCCAGGAACAGATGCTCCATTGTCTCCACCGCATCCCAACAAACCGGGCACCGAGGATGAACCTCAATTTCTCGCTCAATAAGCGCTTCAGTCGTCGGGAGGATTCTATTAAAAATTTGCCAGACAAACACCTTCATCTTAGGGGGAATATTGGCATTCCAAAGTCGGATCCAATTCTCCCTATCCATCCAGCTAACCTGAGCCCTCCACCGACCATTCTGCTGATCCAACCCAACCGCAAGGTGATACGCCGATTTCACTGAGAAGACACCATCTACTATGCCTTGCCAGATCAAGCGGTCTTCAACATTCTGCCTTGGAAGGGGGATAGCCTTAATCATTCTACAAGTTGGGGGATCAAACCATTGGCCTAGCTTATCATCACACCAGCGCCCTTCCCCAGCACAGATCACCTCCGCAACCCTCACCTCCCCATCCGTCGGCAAAACACGAGGGTTAAACACTAGGGGGTAGTTGGACTGCTGAGGGACCCAATTCGGCTCAAGCAACGGAGCTGTTTGACCATTACCAATCTGCCAACGTAAACCCTTGGACAGCAACTGGCGTCCAAACAGAATGCTCTGCCATCCCCAAGATGGTCGGGATCTAGCCGTAGCTGAGAGGAACGAGCCATTGGGAAAATACTTCCCTTTATAAACCTGGGCTAACAGAGACTGGGGTTCAGTCAAAATGCGCCACCCAATCTTAGCCAACAAAGCCTGATTGAATAACTCAAACCTACGAAAGCCCATCCCCCTTCATGTTTACTGCGACATAAGCTCCGCCAAGACATCCACCGAATTTTGGATTGACCATCCTCCACTCCCCACCAAAATCTGGCTACATGTTTATCCAGCAGGCGACAAAGAGATAGAGGAAGCCTGAAGAAAGACATCACATGTAAAGGTAGGGCCAAAGCCACCGACTTTATCAAAGTCTCCTTAGCCGCCCAGGACAAAGTCCTCCGTTTCCACCCTTCTAATCTCTCTATCAACTTTTCCTCCAAATAGAGAAAAGTTACCATCTTGGAACGCGCTATCAAGGTAGGGAGGCCAAGATATTTATCCTACACACCCACAGCCCCCACCCCAAGAATTGCCCCTAAGAACTCCTGATCAGGCAAGGAGATATTCTTACTAAAGCAGACCGCCGACTTACTCAAGTTCACCTTCTGGCCACTTAGCTCCTCATATTCATTCAAAACTTCAATGAGATTCTCACACTCCTGGAGCGATCCACGGAGGAACAAGTAAGAATCATCAGCAAAGAACAAGTGAGATATCCGAGGAGAACGAGGCGCAACTTTTACCCCCTCTAACCTCTTCTCCGAAATGGACTTTCGGAGCAGGGCTGCGAACCCCTCCGTACAGAGCACAAAAAGAAGGGGCGAGAGAGAGGATCTCCTTGCCGGAGCCCCCTAGAAGACCTGAAGAATCCCGAGGGAGCTCCATTCATGAGCACCGAAAAAGAAGCCGATTGCAAACACTCCTGCACCCACCCTCTCCAGACCGAGTTAAACCCCATCTTATCCAAAACCGCAAGTAAAAAGGACCATTCGACTCTTTCATAGGCCTTTTCCATGTCAACCTTCAGAGCCATGTATCCCTTCTTCCCACAGGTTTTGATTTTCAGATAGTGCATCAGCTCATGCCCCAAGAGGATATTCTCCACGATCTGCCTATCCCGAATAAAAGCGTTATGTCCCTTCAAAATAATTTCGGGTAACACTCTAGCCAATCTCTCCGCCATAATCTTAGTAATTACTTTATACACAAACTGGCACAGGCTAATAGGGCGGAGTTGCCGTATGGATTCCACCTGATCCACCTTGGGAATCAACGTTAACTAGGTATGATTGAAACTATGGAGCATCCGACTGGTTTCAAAGGAAGAACTGACCGCATCAATCACTGAATTCCAAACTATTCCCCAAAATGCTTTAAAGAATTTCCCCGTAAAGCCATCCGAACCTGGCGCCTGTTTCGAGCCCATACCGAAAACAGTTCTTCGAATCTCCTCAGGAAGGACTACCGCCGTTAGGTTCGCATTTATCTCCTGGGTAACACTTGACTCAATCGGTATGTCCGCCACCCTATCAGCCATATTATGCACCTGGCTTTCCGAGGTGAAAAGGGTTTGATAGAAACCATTAGCTATATCAGCCTTTCCACGCTCCTCCATTACCCACTCACCATCCGCATTATACAACCCAGAAACAAAGTTTCTTTTACGACGGGTTCTCGTGACCGTATGGAAGTAAGAAGAGTTCTTGTCACCTCTTTTCAGCCATCGGACTCGAGATTTCTGCTGCCAATATTCTTCTTCTGCCTCCCACTGCCTACTTAGTTCCGTTTCCAACCCCGCCACTGCCTGCCAATTGATCGGATGAACAACCTTTATCCGTTCAATCTCCATTTTCAAGGTTTGGATATTGCGCAGGGAGTTGGTGGTCCCCGCTCGGCTCCAGTCATATAAAAGATGATGAAGTTTCTTCAATCTCTCCCACAACTGAAACATCGGACTACCTTGAATTTGTTCCCGCCAAACATAGGATACCATCGCCGTAACCTCCGGGTTGTCTGCCCAACGAGCATCAAAATGAAAAAGGGGGCGACATATCCTGACATAAGGTTTATCAGACAGAAGCAAAGCCCGGTGATCCGACCCTTGATCCGTGAAATGCTTTACAAGCGTATCGGGAAAAGTATCCATCCAGGTCTGAGAATAAAGGGCCCTGTCTAGCCTCTCCCGAATACATGCCAGCCCCATCCGTTTGTTGGTCCAGGTGAATGGATCACCCTAATACCCAGGGTCATGCAGCCCAATATCCTGAATCATATTTCTGAGGTCCATGGACTGGGTAGCATTCCAAGGATTGCCACCCTCTTTCTCACCGGCATTTAGGGTAACATTCAGATCACCGATGATCGCATAAGGGAGAACTAGGCTGTCACATATCTCATGAATCTGAGTCAATTGAGTTGCACGCACAGCAGTATTACAACTCAAGTAAACACAAAGCACCACATACGAAGAACCATTATCATTAATCCTCGAACAAATACAAAAACTAGAATGAAAAAACACCGAAGTATCCACTCCGGGGGACCCAGCTAGAACAAGACCACCAGCACCATTAATGGCATCAACAAAAAAACAATCCGAAGACTCAAAACCTAAACCCCGCAAACGCCGGGTGACTACTCTCCGAGACGACCTTGTCTCTGAAAAGAAAACAAGGTCTGGATTATTCGAACGAGCCAACCCAACTGCCGTTTGGAATGTGAGGGATGGTCCAATTCCTCTCACATTCCAGGCTAAAATCTTCATTTATCTTCTTGGGGTCACTCACGGCTGGCTTCCTCTACCGAATCAGTAATCTCCTGCTCTTCCACAAACTGCTTTTTAGGTGTGGGACTTGCCTCAAAACCCCCTTCCAGCTCATCCAGAGAGCGCTTACGAGTCCCGATTTCCAAATTAGACCCGTACTCGTTGAGGTCAGAAGTCATCCCATCCTCCACCGCTTGTACTATATCCTTTCCTTCATTAATACTCATACCAGCTTCAAAGGCCGCAACCACCTGACGAACTTGTCCCGGGAGAACCTGGCTCTGCAGCTTCGTTGGTGTGGTACGAGCCTTGATCACAAAACGCTGCTCATCCTCTTCCGAAGACGACCCTTTGGGAGAAGGCATCCCTTCGGTCTTAGTGGGCTCCTCCGCCACTTTGGACTCCATCTGGGCCGACGGATCTTGGGCCTGAGCTGGCGCCTTATCAGCCGAATGGGCCGCCTTCCCAGTTCCAGCCTCCTTTCCCAATGGAGATCGGGCAGGCCCTTTTTCTTTCGGGCCGTCCCAGTAGGATTACTTGGCCGGTCCGAAGCAGTCTTCTTCTTGTGGGCTACAGCCTTGCGGGCTGAAGCCACCTTGGGCCCATCACTGGCCGCCTCTTTCTTGATAAGCCGCTTCCCCTTCTTCATCGTCTCCCCCACCGTCTCTGTATCCTCCATCGGCCTCACAAGAATGGGAGACTCATCCTCCCAATCCTCAATAATCAATCTCCTCCGGAGAGCATCTCTTGGCGCAATCTTGACCGCCTGTGCTTCTCCGCCGGCGTGGTTCCCCCCAGCAATAGGGACCTTCGGGTGAAGCTCGGATTCACCACCACGCCTTTCCCGATAGCGACCTGGAGATCCACCATCTCCATCAGTTGAAGACATCTCCCGCTCCCTCATACTCGCCGCAGGTCGGCCGCCATTCGGGGCTTCCGAGATAGCAGCAGGCGAGGAGGTCGGGGTGCGAGCACGGCCCAGCCTTAGCATCGGCGATCGCGACACTTTAAAACCACGAGGGCTCAATCGGCGTTGCCCCCGATGTCTGCACCGAGTGCTCTTCCGCCGCCACATGCTTCAGTTGCCTAGGAGGCTGACTTTGGTACCTACCTTCCTGCTCTCTCTGCGTTCCCACTCCCAATTTTCCAGGACCTTGCTGCCGATAGTCGCGGTTGACCCAGACCGATTTCCCACCTCGAGCAAACGGCTGGGCCTGATCATCACCATCATAAATCCGAGTCCCCAATTTTTTGGTAATCATATGGGGTCCATAATTCTCCATCCGAGCTGGAGGATCGAACGTGCAGGATCATCTTGAGTGTCCCACTCGGCCACAGTGGAAGCAAAAGCTCGGAAGATTTTCGTATTTGAGGCTGACCCATAAACGGCCTGTGTCGTCATTTGACGCAAGGATCTTGGATCGGAGAGGTCTGGAGAAGTCAATGAGCGCCTTTACCTTCACGAACCAGCAGCCTGAGTCTTGGCAGGCAAAGACTCCTGACTCCAAGACCTTCCCAATCGTGGTTTGCACCATTTTTCTTCCAAACTGTTGAGTGCAACAGTCTTCTCTGACATCCCACAACTGGATACGAAACGGAGCAATCGCGAGATCATCATAAATCTGCTTCGTGATGATCGGTGTCCATGCCCGCAGATGGATGATCCTGTCATTGATCACCCATGGAGACCGTTTGAGGATCCAAGTCTTAGCCTCCTCGTTTGGTAACATGAATTCAATGAGGCCATGCTTTGCCTTGACAACTCGGATGCGCCCCTGAATCAACCACGGAGCGATCACCGATTCCCAGAGTTCAGTGGTAGAGATCCTGTTCTCCGTGAAGACTCGGCCAAGGAGAGAGTGTGCAGTTCGATACCTTGTCGATTGCACCTATGATGTTTTTGACTCCAAATGTTATGGGTTTGCTTCGAACCATTCTTGTATTTTGATTAACTGAGGTCGACCTATTATGTTGTTGAGGTTGACTTATTTATGTTTTTTATATTGTTGATTTATGTAAATGTTGGGGTTATTGATTTTTCTTGCAAGCAGAGGTCGACCAATGATGTTTAGAGGTCGAACTATCGTTGTTATGGTTTTGTCTATGCATGTAGTGTATAGGTCGACCTGTTTAGGGACAGGTCGACCGAGTCTTGTTCGTTTCGTAAATATGCCTACGTGAATTGTCGCTTGTTTGATCTCAGGATGATTTAAGAAAAAATAAAAGAAAGTAAGAAAAATCGGCTGCCTCAAGTTCTAAATGGGAAGAGTTCAACTCCACTCTATTCCAGACCAAGGAGCAAAGTGAAAATTTTGAAGAGAAGAGAATGCACAACCGCAAGGTGGCTTCTGGAAGGCCATTGACGACCGATGCGTATCCTTAACTCAAAAATTATGGGTTTCTAGCACCATTTGTGGAACAAGAGTGGCTAAATGTGATATCTCTCAATGCACCATACTACCCAAAATGGTACAGTAATTCCACAACAACATCGTTTATCACCATAATGTAAATGGATCGATTCATGAATTTAAAAGCTATGTGAATGGGGTGGAGATCCGCATCAGCAAGAATGTGTTGGCAGAAGTACTAGAGACTCCAAACTAGGGGAAGAGAATCAATTCTTACAGTGCTTGGAATGAAACTCATTTCTCGAGAACCAAGCAAATTCAGACTGTATGTGGTCTTGCCAAAGAGGAAGATGCTTAGGATCGTAGTAGGCCAACGATTCACCAGCTGACAGTTCAAGCCAGAATTCTTCATCACATGCTTTCCTACAACATTCTGCCAAAGGCTGGACATCGGAAGACAGTCACCTACTTCGACATGGAGCTCCTCACCAACCTACTTTTAGATGAGAAGGTGAACTTGCCATACTTGATCTTTAACCACATGTTTACTGCTGCAGAGAGTTCAAACATGAATCTTCCCTATGGGATGATCCTGACTTTGCTATTTGAGCATTTTAATGTGGATTTAAGTGGTGAGGTTGGATTAAGAATCTCGAGGTAGGAGTTCTATACAATTTCATCTCTGAAAAAGATGGGATTTGAGCTGCGTAATGGTGAGTATGTCCGAATACACAATGATCATGGTGTCCATGGTGGTAATGATGATGAGGATGATGCTGATGAAGGAGCCGGAGACGAGTCAATGCCGCAGGCATAGAGTTGAACTCTACCGGTCACCTTAGAGCGTATGTGGGAGCGCATGGATGGCATGTACGACTACATGGGCCAGATTTCCACCCAGATGACTGGCATGTACGACTACATGGGGAAAATGACCAACCAGATGAGCACAATGCAAGTGACCGTGAATGAGATGCGAGATGAGTTTCGATCTTTCAGTGGAAGATACATGCATCCCACCACATCCGACTACCATAATGCTAGCAACACTAATGAAGAAAATGTGGATGTGGGAGAGAAGGGACAGGAGTAGGAACTCGACGATTTTAGATTGTGAGTTTTTATTGTTAAGTGTTAAAAGCGATTGTTGATTGATATTCAGTGGTTTTAGATTTTTGTTGTGTGAACAATTATGATTTGTGTTTTATTGTATTTCTTGTTACTTTGTTTAGTTGTTATGTTATGAAGTTATGAGTCATTGTTATCATTATTTATGACTGATTATGTTGATTTGAAAGGTAATTTGTACGAGCAAAATAACCACCCACATCGACATACATAAGCAAAAAAGACGCAGGGTATAGGTGGATTTACCTATATTCGGTCGACCGCGAAACCAACACGATCTTCATTTTACGTCAAATGATGACGGCTAAATGGATACAACACTTCTCTTCTATCTGGTCGGCCTCTTTCTGTAAACGATCGACCATTTTGTTAATGACCGTCATCAAGTGGTCGACCTATATAACTTTACGGTCGACCATTTTGCTTCTGACGCCAATGAAAAGAGCGACCGTTTTTTATTGCGGTCGACCAACAATGACAACTTAAACTACAACGGTCGACCACTACATTTTAAAGGTCGACCACGATAAGTACTCAGGGCGCCCACATTAGTGTATTCGCTCGACCTCTGTTAGTATTAGATCGACCGAAGAGTCCATGTTACGATGACATGTAGGGCTAGCTATTTGGTCCGTGCTTTTTGGTTTTACCCGAAATCGGACCGTATAACCCGGACCAAAACCGTATAGCAAAAAATCCAATCCAAGTTTCGGGCCTAGATTTGAGGTAAAAAACCGTTTGGGACCGGACCGAAAACCGGATAATGACCGGATAAGAGAGCCCAACACTCAAAATTTAAACTCCTCACCCTTTCAGGCCTTAGGCCACTCAAATCCCTCCTCAGGACACTCAAATCCCCACAAGCACAATCTAAAATCAAGACCGAATTGGGACCGGACTGTATCCAATCCAATCTTTGGTTCTTATATTCTCGAAAAGACCGGATCGATACCGGATCAATTCGGGCCAATTTAACCAGACCGAATTGTATAGCCACATCTAATGATATGCATTTCACCATAGGCATACACTAAATTTTTCAATAGGACAACTCATGAATATATGAGACGAAAAAATTAAAATTTGAAGAATTTTTTTTAATTTCATCTTAATAACTTTTACACTAATTAATAAACTGGGAGCCCATTGGCCGTACTGTACATTTTGCAAAACCAGTTTCTGGCTGTAACCTTTTAGAAAAGCGTTTCGCTATAAACTACTAAAAGTAATTTTTAATATAAAAGCTCATGTAAAATGACTACAAAAATTTCTAATATTAATAAAATATTTAAAATGAATGTTTTTTTTATTTCTTTTATGTTATATTTTATTTTTCAAATAATATAAATGAAAAAACGTTATGTTTTAAATTGAAAAAATAATTATGATAAGAATAATAATATATTTAAAAAAATTCGCAAAAGTTCCAAATCGGAATTTTACTTTTATGTTGTAAAATACAAGTGTTGACTTTTTAAAATTTAGATTTTTATAGGTGTTTGAGCCGATTTCAGTTTTTAAAGCCCAAAAGGAATTCTAAAACACTGGCCAAATATTGTTATTATTTATTAAAACTCATTTTTATTGATATATAGAAAACTCAATCTTTGTACCCATTGAAAATAAATTTATTATTATCTATTAAGGACCCGTCACAGTTCAATAACACACAATAAAGCTTTTGATCTAAAAAAATGATTACCATTTTCTAATTCTTTTTTGTTTTTATTTTTGGTAAGATCATAATGATTCTTTCGAAAGATCATGAAGTAGAAAAAACTGAAAAGGAAATAATAATGAGTTTAATTTTATTGTTTAGATGACTTTTAATCAAGATTTTCAAATCGGTTAATACCGTTATGTCGATTTGGCAAGTGGTATTGCCGACAGGTAGAGGTGTCAATCGGGCGGGTTCGAGCTGGGTTGAATCGGGTTGCGGGTTAGTTGGGTTTCAGGTTCATCAGGTTTCGGGTTAGTCGAGTAAGGGTTTATCAGGTTACGAGTTCATCGGGTTACGGGTCAATCGGGTTACGGATTCATCAAGTTATGGGCTAATCGGGTTGCTGATTCCTCGGGTTACGAGTCAATCGGGTTCGAGTTGATAGGTTTACGGGTCGGGCGGGATGGGTTTCAGGTTGTTCGAGTTAGGCATCTAGTTACTTCTTCGTTCTTGCTCGTAAGTCATAGCTACAACTTGCACATTTTATTAAATTAACTTAAAATATTATTTTCATAATTTTTAGTCAATTTCTTTCTACATTATGAAAATTAAAGAAACATGTGAATTAATTTGTACGATTTGCAAACTTTTCATGTAATTAATCGTTAATTGTTATGATGATATCAATATTTTTAATTTTTCATACAGTAGTCTTAATACAAATATACAAGGGTAAATACAATTTAATATCCAAACCTTTTATTTTAAACAAAATAATAGCCAAACCTTTTCGAAAACAATCTAATATCCAAATCGTCAACTTTCCGTTCGTTTGACCGTTAGTTGACACTTCAAAAAAGTTCGAAGTACGACACTTCATCAATATCCATCGATATCTTCTCTGAAAAACCACCAATATATCGTAGTTCCAAACCCGAGAAGTCCATGACTCCACCATGATGGTATAGAATATCTAAATATTCAGTCA